AATACTTAATTAATTGCTTTAGTTAATAAAATTATTTTTTTAGTTTTTGTGAAATACCACTCAAATGACAAAAAGAAAAGAATGAAACAAATCATAAATTAGTCTAGTAGTAAAGAACGTACAAAGAACATAATTTTACTTTTATTAATTTACACTATGATGTTGTTTGTTTTCATCTCGAAGAAGTTTGTTTTGAATTTTCTTATAATATGGAGTATTTCTTATAGCAGACAAATGAGGAATAATCCAATTTGATAATTTTGAATGATACTCAACAGCTAAAATGTTTAATATTAATTTGGTATTATAAGACAATAAATAATAAAAGAATGTATAAAAGAAAACAAACAACTTTGGTCTAAGCATGTTTGAATCACATAATTAGCATATGAGTCTTGTAAGAGTTTAGTTACATCTTTAATTTGTAAAAATCTATCAAATATCATTTGTCTTGCTTCAATTTCATCTGAACGTACTAATTTTTCAATTACATTTGATGAAAACTTTTGCATTGATAAATCAATTAAATCATCAAGAAGCATTTTTGTTACATCAATAATAACTCCTACAATATCTACGTTTAATATATATTGTACAACATAATTTCCAAATGCATCTTTAACTAAAACTAATGAATTTTTTACAATTTCATCTATTAAAGTAATTAATTGTTGTCTATTTCCATAATCAATACATCGTTGAACAACACAACATCCATGTTTATGGGTTGCTACTTTTACTAAATTACCATCACTCACAATCGCATCGAAAATAAACCCATTATCACTTTTTCCAAATGTTTTTAAACACTCTTGAATAACATGATTTCCATTTGAATCAAAAATTAATTCAATAACATATGGTGAAATAACATTTATCAACATATTTTGTTCTTCTTTAGTTGAATAACATGAAATTAACTTTTGAATTGAACGAGTTCCATGAATATTTTTTGAAATAATAAAAAATGTTGGTGTGATTTTTGTAATTATTTGAATTCGTTGTTCACTATTTACTACTTCAATTAATTTTTGACATAAATAATTCCCAAATGGGTCTGACATTAAGAGAGTGATAATTGGTAACATCTGTTCAAAAATACATTTTGTTGTTTGTGGATTATTATCTTCTAATTGTCGTTGAAGATAACGACATCCATATTGGTCATGACACATCTTAGAAAAGTCACTTCCAAAATCACTAATACAAACATTAGTTGGTGAAGTCATTTCAAAATGATGTGTTTGTGTTGAAACAATTTTTTCTTGTGATGGTGTTTTAATGTGAAGGAATTTACAATTATCTCCGAATTTACACTGACCAATTTGATAGAATTTACAAATTCTTTGATTCCTTTGTGTAAGGAATGTAGAAGATAAATTTCGAAATGGACTAATTGGTGCACTTGGTTCTAATACAGACAAATCAGAAATATATTTTGTTGAACTTGGTGTATGTGGCTCAGTAAAAGATGTATGTGATTTAGGTGGTTCAAAATCATTTTGTTCATCAAGCAATTGTGTAATGAACTCAGGAATATCTTCATTCTTATCTTCGTTAATTGGAGATCCATTTCTCTACAAACTGTTAGTTCTTTTTTTTTCTACATTGACTTAACAAATTAACTTCTTTTTTAGAGCAGGAAAACTTTTTCTCTAAAAACATTTTTTTTAACTAGTTTTGTCTTTTCATTTTATTTTGTTAACTTTTTATTATTCATGTCTCTATCTCTATTACATCATCAAAAACAAACAAACTCTAAATGATGGAAATGATTCATGATCCATAGAAAATGCTTCAAATTGATCATTCAAATTTGAGATCATCACTTTTTACTTTTCCAGTTTTATTTTTCAAGTTCTGTATTTCTTTTGAAGTTTCTTTTTTTTTCTTTTCTACCATCTTTATTTTTAGTTTATTTGTGTTATATAACACGTTTTTTAATATCAAATCATAATTCTATAAATTTCTCACTGATAATACTTTGAGTTGAGTATGTTTATTCTTTCCACTGACTTTTTGTTTGTTAGTTGTGTTGTAGATATTAAAATTCACTACAACACTATTTGGTAGTTTCTTGGTTCTATTGTTTTGTTCTAATGATAAAATATTGTTAATTTTTTTGAGTGTTGTTATGAATTATGTTTTGTTAAAACTTAATTTGAATTTATATTTCTTGTTGATTAAGACATTGTACTCTTTTGAATGATTTATCTGTTTATTTCGTAATCATTGCATGCTTTTTCTTCAATAATCAATTGACAGGAAATAAAATAAGAATTACTCTATGAATGTACTTATTCTATGAAGATGGATAAATGCCAATTTATCAGGAAGAGTAATTTCTATTTATTTACAAAATAATCAGTCAAAGTTTTAACTGAACTTATTTAGTCTATTCGATGGTATTGAAGCTATTTTAAACATAACTATTTGAATATTTGATTTTGAGAAAATAGAATCTGACATGTTGGTTATAGACTCTGATATGAAATTTTAATGAGAATTGATGGTTTAATAATAATTAAAATGAGTGTTTTGTGTTTAAATAAACATTGGTTTTAATACAGCTTCATACTGTTTTTTCAA